GCGTTTACCAAAGGAAGCTATACGACCTACTTATGATGACGAAACTAGCAAAGTGAAATATGACATAGATGAATCCCACGATCAGCGCTGGAGAGAGGAATTCGAGCCATTCTACAATGGTGAAGATGGTGAGCTACCTAAACTCTCAGAACCCTCTTGGTTCTCTGGATATGATAGATGCAACATATAAAATGAAAATTTTATGGTAGTGTGCAATCATATACATGTGTCACTCGTAAATTCTTCCATTATATATAGTTGTTCAATGTAACAATGTTAGTTGGCGTTCTTGGTAGCTATTACTACTGATTATGAGGAGAACTGCACATGCTAGTTCCCTTATTGTTTACTTTGTATTCAAATTCAAATTCTCGAAGTTCATAAGAGTGGAATGAATTGTAGAAATCTTTTATCGTCTCCCTCCCCATCAAATTCTTGCCTCTTAGTTTTGAGAAATATATATGCGTGGCAATAAATATATCTTATCTCTCATGTCTCACAAGCAGACTTTAGAAACATAAATTTGTTAGGTTAGGTGGTTAGTTCTTTCCCTTTCTTTTTACCTACTTTTTCTTTTAGAAAGAAATTGTTGGAAGCATACTTCATTAGATGAGGTACCAATTATTTTCTTGAGATTGAATCTAATCCCACACCTCCACAATTGCCGAACTGACAGAAAAGAAACTATTGGGTTTTGTTGTTTTGATTTTAGCTTATATAACATCACATGATATTTTATTTTTGGAGAAGAAATCTTGAGAAAAGATTCTCATTTTTGTATTGAAACTTGAAAAATTCATTGTCATTCTGACATGTTGTCAGCTTGTTGACAGATACAAAGGCTTACTGACTGACATTGTTATTCACCATGCAATTTTCTGCTCTCCATTAGAGGTTAAAGATATTCTTCCCAGGGCAAGTTGTGGCTGCCAATGGGAACCATGAATGAATCCCAAAGTTGTGGTGTTGAAGCAAAATGGATAATGATGGACCCCAAAGTAAAGGAACAGAGATAACATAGTTTTCAGATAATGTTCCGAGTTTTGGCATAGAAATTGGAGAGCCAATAATCCATCAAAGTTCACTCAATTTGGGAATGAAAATAGCCAATAGGAGGAAAAAAATCATTTTCCATTCCCACTTTCAATTTCATTGTCATTCCATTCTTCCCTCTAGGAAAGAAGAGAAAACAAAAGTCCCGAAACTGAAGCTGTTCTCATTTATTTGTTTGGTTTTGTTGTCAAATAGATGGGAGGCAAAGTTCAGAAGGATCAGAGAAATATGTCTGTGAAACCAATCAGACAGTTAGTTCATTGGCAATTCTCTCCCCCATATCAAAGCAGACCATTTAATTTAATGCCATGGAGACCATAAAACAAGATGCTTGTGCCTTTGTCCCACCTTCTCTCTCTACAGAGGACCATTTCTCTCTCTCTCTCTAGAGGAGGACCATTTCTGCTTCACCATTGCTTGTGCCCAGAAATAGACTCTCAACATAAAAAAAACAAGTAGGCCTCTCAACCCTAGCCATCCATCCATCAATTCATCTCCCAATTGGAACTCACAAATTCATATATTTAATGCCCATTTCTCTCTCTCTCTCTCTCTCTCTCTCTCTCTCTCTCTCTCTCTCTAGGAGAGTAGGAACAAGTGACCCATCATAATTTAAAGATGGAAATGGATTTGAAAGTGACTATTGGGAGACAATACCAGCCATGTGATAGTGAGAGAGAGAGAGAAAGAGAGATGCAAGTGTTGGAGAGAGAAATCCTTCTTTTTTCTTTGAGTGGGAATGGAGAGGGGGGCTGTTTGGCCATAGTTAGAGAGGATGAAAATTTTGAGAGAGAAATAACTTTCTCTCTCCCAATCATTGGATGATGGTAGAACTACACATTTTAACTAGTCTCTTTTACATCCAACGATATAAAATCACCAGCCACGTTATTCCAACCACTCAAAGACCACTGAGGGCTGTTTGGTTAAAGCGAGGAAAACTATTCAATGTAGTTGTCAGAATATGGCTACTCCCCTCCTAACCATGGGATTGAATAGTCAAACTTCAACCGTTGATCTCTCTCTTTGGCACTCAAAGGTTTAAAATCGTGGTTTGGGAGGGCTGGGGGGCTGTTTGGCTGTCACAATTCTCGACTGCCCCACACAAGAGAGAAAGGAAAAAGAAAATAGAAGAAATGGGAAAATGTTTACGCGTATACATTTTCTCTATCTCATTGTCTGTACTGTGTTGTGAATTACATCTCAAGGACAGTTCTTGGAGTTGAAGCAATAACCATTAGCCCCCAAGAAACAAGGGGGTAAATTTTGATTCCAAAATCAGAGTGAAAAATAGGGTTCTTTAGAGGAAAGAAACAGACATAAAATAGAAAGGTGAAAAGAAGAGAGACTCTTTTTTCCCGATCATGGTTAGGTGAAACATTCATTCCAAACATACAACAATTATCAACCTTTCTTGCTTTCCTCTAGGCCCCTCTTTGCAATCATCAAACCTATAACCCCCATCTTTTTTTTTTGTTACTTCTCGAGAAAATTGCCTCAACAATATAGTTTCTTTTAAAAAATAAGGCATGAACTTTCGATCTTGTTTAGTTTCTGGCTTTGAGTATTCGAACATTCTATTTTAAAATCTAAATTGTCTATGTTAGTTTTTATTGTAAGTTAGATGTCTTTCCAGATAGATGTTTGAAGCCACAAGTAGTAGGTTAGATGTGACGTCTTGTTTGATGGAAAATTAATAGTACAAGCTAAATAGTTTGTGTTCTAAGTTTATGAATTAAAACATGGATAGGGTATCTAAAAGCTAAGTGAATCTAAAATGAAACAAATATGAAATTTTCAGGGACTAAAATGAGATTTAAACCTTTTTCAAAGGTTTCCAACCCATGCAATAATACAATAATATTATACTATTGTGTATAGTGTTTATTTCAATTTTGTTTCATCTCCACAATTTGATTCATCAAAAATCTTCTTTTTTTTCTTCTTTTTTTAGTTCAATTTGGAGAATTAGAACAGACATATTACATCCAATCACTCACCTTCATTATGTTTTGCCTGCAAATAATGTTAAGTTAGTAGAATTGCATTAGCCTTTTTGATTTCATGTCATTGTCTATATGATACTGAAAATCTATCATTAACCTAACAATATCTTGGCTGAAGTAATTAGAAGGCATCAAAATGATTTATTATTGACTTTAGTGTCACTTTTTTATTTTGTTAAAATGCCAAATCTTCCCCTGTTGACTTCTAATCCCAATTATGATTCTAATTGTTCATTAGTTGGAATCATTTTTTAACCGTTGTAATAATACCTATTTTGGATTGGAATTGAAAAAAAAAAAGTAATATTGGACGGTTGGTACTTGTCTGATCTAACTCTTTATTTATTCTTTTGGTTCTTATTTTCTTTTAATCTAGTTCTTTAACGATCGTAATTAGAAACAGTAACTTCTCTCATCTTTAAAATAACGAGACTTCGAGTCTTAATTAGTGTCTACCTGACAACTTAGAATATCAAACATTCCATGAGTACCTTGTTGTCAAATATAGAAGGATTAGACAATTGTATAGTAATACTTATCAAAGTGCACATGGACTTGAATTGAATATTGTGAACTTTAAAAGATGAGTAGAAGGAGAGACAAGGAAGAAATTTAACTGCATAGAAAAGAAAAAAGGGATGCACTTGATGAAAAGGTAATATCTTCAGATAAACAAAATTTGTCTATATGTTGGTGACTATTTATCTAATTGAAAACATCAAATATCTTATCAAATATGTGTACGTCATATATTTATTTTAGAATTAGATAATTGTCCTGTAATACTGATTGAAATGGACTTGAATTTAATCTTTTGAATTTAAAAAAATAGTAGAAGGATAGACAAATATAGAAATTTAACCGCATAGAAAAGGGAAGAGAAGTGTTAGGCAATATCTTCAAATAAAGGGAATTTGACTATACGGTGATGACTATTGAATGACTTAGAACATCAAATATCTTATCAAATATCTGATCCATACGTATACGTTAGATATTTTAAGATTAGATAATTCTCCTGTAATACTAATCGAAGTACATGTAAAACGGATCCGAACACAAGCGCCTTCCAAGAACTAAAGGTCGAAGAGAGACAAAAATAGTATTTCAAGTGAGTAGAAAAGGGAAAGGAGAAGTAAAAGGAAAGCCTTTGGTGGAAAGGTAATATCTACAAAGAAAGGGTATCCATCCAGTCTGAACCCCACCCACTATATTGCTTTCTTCTTCAACTTATCCATTTTATTAATAAATAAACAAATATTTTGGTTTTGGTTTGTGAAGTAGTTAGAGCTTTTAACTGCTGCCAACCTGGGCATTGAAAGCTTCCATTGAGCAAAAAAGAAAAAAAGAAAAGAAAAAAAGAAAGGTGTCTTTAGCTGTGATTTGGTAGATAACAAAATTCAAAGTGGCTTTGGATTCCAGTTAAGAGAAGCACTTTTAAATAATATAGTCTTATGATTTGATTATTTTGGACTTAAGGGGTAGAATTGTCCCCACACCACAGCTGGTTTCAAGTAAGAATCTATTTTGCCCACAAGTTAAGCGATTTAACTTGACATAATATCATCCAAATGGGTCCCTCCTTCCCTCTGGATCAAAGTTTTTTCCAGCTATACTTGAAAGCAACTCATTCAAAACTGTTGCTGTTTTCTGTTTGGTTGATGAGAAAGTTGAGAAAGAAAGAAAAAAACCCATTTTCAACTTCTTAATCACATCCCTACTAGTCCTTCTTCTGCTCGTGGTGTGAGAATTCGAATTTTGAACCTTTTAATCGAAAATATATACCTTAATCAGTTCAGTTATGCTCTCGCTTCTGATCTTTCTTTCCCTCGTGTTGTGAGGATTCAAACTTTTAATCTTTTAATCGAGAATATATATTTTAACCAGTTGAGTTATACTCTCTAGAAGGAGAAAGATCATAATGAGAGAGAAAGAGTTGTGTGAGTGGAACAATGATAACATTAATGATTTCTGAGTGATACACAATGTTGGATTGAATGTCAGAACTTTTGAATCTTTTTCCAACACTACTTTTACAATGGGCTATAAAAGCATAAATGTGGTTTGATGAAAAAAATTTGAGGCCACCACCAGTTGCTGCAATTAGTTCTAGCATTATACAGAGTGGAATTCTTGAAAGAACTCTCAAAAAGAATTGAGTGGCTGATACATAATTTTCAGAAAGAAACAAAAAGGAGAAAAAAAAAAGGGAGGAGAATTCTTTGCTAATTTTCTCTCCAAAAAAATGGAACTGGAATCCCTCTCTATGTACAGAAAGCCTCTCTCGCCGTGGGGGGCCGCCATGGAATTCAGCAGTTGATTATTTTGCTTCTTTTACAATTCACTTTTCATCTCATCTGCAGCCATAGAACATAAATTTTTTGGATTAAGTTTTCTTCAGATTCAGTTTAGAGATTTAATCAAACCCAATTAATGGCTTCAGATTTTGTTGCCATCTTACCATTAGCATTCTGCACCTGGTTCTGTCCATAACCCATCTGAACTACAGTGTGGAGCTCATCCTCCCAAAACTTTGAAATCTGTATATCAATTTAGAGATAATCTTTAGACTATGCAGTGCAGAGATATTGGTTCAAATGCTTTGTGAAAACAGATTCGCTATTTACTTGGATTCCATTCCCGACTTCGCTGTACCCGCTTGGAACCTGCCCGCTTAGATTTCTTTGCATCGCATCACTTGCTGAGGCAACTGAGAATTGCTTCTCTGTGCCATTAGAAATGGCACTGTGAAGAGGAGGCATATGCATAGATTGATATTCATATGTGAATGTGGGCATTGATGAATCCGAAGGGTAAACCGTATGGGGCGCCGAACCAGGACATTTGAAGATCTGAGATGTGCAGCAAATCACGCAAGATTAATTATAAATCTAGGGAGTGTTTTCACTAATTGGAGCAGTAAAATATGCTCTATTTTTCACTCACATCCTTTGGCAAAAGGGTCTCCATGTTAAAATCCATCCTTGGATTGACAGTTGACAATTTCATTGAAAGAAACTGCATCAAATCCAACCCAACTTAGAAAGCTATATAAATATATATATAAGCACAGAAATATGTCAGATCTTTTGAGCATTTGGTGATTACCTCAACTTGGCGCTGCAAGGACTGTACATAGTTTATGATTTCATCAAGCATGACTGCCTTCCCAGTTACCTGCAATGAGAACGAAACTCCAACCTTAAAACTATGTACTATCATCATCCCTATAATCTCAGAGTTACAAGCTTCAAACTAAGACTGCAGAACTGTAAATTCCAAGCACCTTATTGCAACCGGGGACGAGATCTTGAAGAAACTTCATCCGTTTGCTGATTTTCTCTCGCCGTACCTGTGATAGAAAGGAATTGTGAGTTATTAAATCAGATTGGAGCGCAAAGAGAAGTGATATACAGAGCATTTGTGTTTTAGTTCTTACTCTTTCAGCCAAACTATGGCTATCTGTAGCTTGACCCCTTCTAGCTCTGACATGGATATAATCCTTTGGAGGTTCTGGAGGCTTTGAATTATCATTGGTTTGCTTCTGATTTGCATCCCCTGAAGTTTTTGTGCCATCTTTTGCCTCTGCCTTCCCCTTAGCAGCATCCATCTCTTTCTTGGAAACTTCCTCTGGTTTGATTTTCTTCCCAGTTGATTCATGGTTCTCTCCTGCAGCCTGAATCAAGAAAAAATGCATTCCCATTTTCCACTGAGTTCGTAATAGATGCAGAATTTTGAAAAGGAAATACAATCAATCGACTCAAACTTTGTAAATATACCTTCACATCTTTTGCTTCCCCAGTGTGAACTGATTTCCTTTTTCTAGTGTTGGCTTCAGCTTTACCTTTGAAGCCCAACTCCCTGGCAGTAATCTGCTCGGAAACCGAAGATCCCTCCCGCGAATCACCAGCATTTTCGGGCGTCGAAGACCTCGAAAACCTGTTCAGCTTCTTGTTAGGCATTGAATTCCCCTTCTGCATTGGGCTTTGGTTGCCCTCCTGAACAACTCCCATTTGAGATCCAATTCCAGCAATGTTGAAGGATTTGTTACTTGAAACTCTGGAGAGCTTTCCAGATTCCACTCCACCTCCGGGCACTGATCTGTTACCCAATTCTTGAGTTTCGTTTGAACTAAATTGCCCATTCAAGCTCCCGAGATTCCTACTTCCGAAGCAAGAAAACCTCGCCGCCCTCTCGGCAAACCCTGGGTCGGCCGAGAACGGCGCCAGATTCTGATGGGGAACCAAATTGCCCCCCACTGACAAATTCCCTCTCATCTGCGACTCCATGATCGGCGACAAATTGTGCTTCGGTGGAGAATTCATAGGCGTATTGTAACAAGAAGTGTTCGTACTGTTGTTGTTGGTTCCACCAATGTAAGAATGAGGCGAAATATCTCCAGAATTGCAAATGCTCCCAAGCCGTCCGATCAATTCCCGCATCATCACGTTGTCGCCGCCGGCGTGGGAATTCACCGGAGAAGACACAATCGAGCTCAAAGTAGACTCAAATAGATCGCTCTGATCCATAGAATTTTCCCAATTCGCATTATTGAACAACCCACTCGAATTCAGCTCATTGGGTTGGATTTCCATCCCGTAAAAGTTGCATCCGTCGTTCATAAAGAATTCCCTCTCCATACCCACGAATTACCCGAACAAATTCGAGAACCCAGATGAAGAATCAAGAATTATAGCAAAAACAAGGAATCAATCAAACAAACCCCAACACCGAAACTTCCTCCACAAGAAACTTGGAAAAAAAAATTGCCTCAAAATGCAGGAAACAAAAAGGGGCAGAGGGCAGATTTTTGGTGAGTGCGATGAAGAAACAAGAATAATGAAATGATTCCTTAGTTTCTTGTGAGCTCAAAATGAAGAAAGAAAAAAAGAGGAGAGAGAGAGAGAGAGAAAAAGCAAATGCAGAAGAGAGAGAAAGAGAGAGAAAGAGAGAGAATTGGAGTGAGAAATGTGGGGAAGTGGAGGGGAAGCAACATAGATAAAGGCAAGGAAATGTCTGTTTGACTTTTTTTTTTCCTTTTTTTTTAAATAAATAAATATCCCATATATTTTTTCCCTTCTCTCTTTAAAAGTACTTTAAAAAATAAACATAAAATAATCTTAATCATTAAAAAAATGATAATTTAACGAAACTTAGTTATGTTGCCATATGAAATTTTTATTGAAATTGACATTAAAGTATGCATGAAATAGCCAACCATAACGACTAATATTATAATAATAATAATTAATAAAAATGTGGCTTGCTTATTAGATTAATTTTAGTTGAATTAGCGGGTTGTATTGTTTCTTTTTAATATAACAAGTGTGGGATAGGGATTGAACTTTCGGTATCAAATAAGATAATTAGAATTTCCTTCTACCAAATCATAGTCGAATTGATAATCGGATCATATATAGATTTTTTAACATGACACGTCGTCATTATTTCAAAGATGATAGGCATAATTGAACTTTTTTACCAATATTTTAGACTTTTTGAAAACAAAATTAGTTATAGGTACGTTATAACAATATATTAATATTATTTCTTTTGAAAAATAGTACAACATAGATACAAGAATGAAGATTCAAACTTATGACTTATCGAGGAGGCAGAGGTATTGATAAATTTGTTGATATTATTTATAAATCAAAAAGGTAGCTATACTCTCCTTGTGTGAGTTTCAACCATTGGAAAATGGAAAATTATTGTGAGATTTATACCTCTTTTTATTTTTATTTAAAAGAGAAAAAAGTCCTAACATTGGGCTCCACCCAAAATTGGGCCTTTTGCCCAACTAGATTTAAGCCCAATTGGGCAGTTAGCCACGTGTAAAATTTTCGGAATTTCGGAATTTTACCTATAGCTTAAGTTTGACCTTTTTTTTTTAATATAGTTTACATTACCTTCGAAGTTTGACTTTAGTTTTAATTATGTTATTTTGTCAAATTATAAACTTGTTACATTGGTAAATACATATTTATTTTATGTTATTTTATGTAAATACTTTTTAATTATCTTGCGTGAGTTCTTTTTACCATAGTAATTAACACTACTTATTTTTATAAGTTATTTTTATAAGTTAATATAATTACCATAGCAATTAGTATGACTTATTTTTATAAGATCTTTTTCCTTATATGTCCTTAATACAAACTAGCAATTCGATTTTTTTTTTTGATAAAAAGCTTAAATTCTATTTTAATTTACAAAGTTATATGCTTATATTTCGTAGTTCTTAATTTTTTAAAATTTTGAACTTTAATTTTAATACAAGATCAATCGAATAGTTAGACATTTTTATCTAGTAGTTTCAACTTTTATCTACTCATTTGTTATGCTTTATGGTGGCTTATATATAAATAACAATTGGCGTCAAACTGAATATAACCCAACTGGTTATATATCTTCAACCAAAAAAATCGTGAGTTCAAATCTACATTCCTATCCTTTTTTAGGCAAAATCTACATTCCTATCTATTGTACTAAAAATAATAATTTAATCCTCGTTAATATTTGTCGGGTTTTTCGTGGGTAGAATACTAACCTTTTGTAGCGTCGTAGCGGAATCCACGAAAACTCACTGTCGGAGATCAATCACGAATGGAAAGATCTCACAATTTACTACCTGAATTCCTCGAAAGAATTTTGAGACAATTCTAACACTCTCTTTCTTCTTTGTGAGATATTAGGGGAGCAGTTACATAACTGCTCCCTTATTTTCAAATTCAAATTGAATTTGAATTTGTGGATTTAAATTAAATCCTACAATATCCTAGAAATTATTAAAGATAGTGTTTTTCCCCCTCATGTCATCGTCCGACTTTTAGAAACGTTTTTTAGTNTTATATGTATGGTTTTTAGAAACGTTGAAAATGGTGTCGGTAAATAAATAAATAGTTTTTTTTAGTTCGGTCAATAAAATATAGTCTTTCTAAAAGTTGGATGAAAATATAGTCCGAATTGGTGTTTGTACTTTTCCCTTATTTTCCTTTTAGTCCCAATGTTTTTAAATATTATAATTGGGTCCTTGTATATGTATGATTTCTATATTACAATTAAAGCTACAACTTTTTAGAAACATTTCTAAAAATGACTCGTGCCGTTAGCTTTTCCAGGTTAAAAAATTACATTTTATCTCGATAGAAGCAATGTCTCTGAACTTTAATTTGTTGCGATCTAATCATCGTACTTTCAAATTAGTAACATGTTAATCTTTTGAATTTAGCATAGCTAGGCGTTAATTGACATATACTTATAATTAAGAGGTTGTGAATTCGATCCCCACCCCCACATGTTGTATTAAAAAAAAATAGAAAAAAAAATAATCCCTACATAAAAAATTGAGTATCATCTTTTATTGTATAACAAATTAGTATTTGTAATTTATAAATACATTTAATTTATTGATCTACAAGTATAAGAAAATTTAACAAAAAACTTTATCGTAGATATTAAATTATTACAAACTTTAAATTATATGATTAATTAATTATATATTAAAATTTTAGGACTAAATTATTATCGATTTAGAAAATTCAAAAGACTAATTTTTACTTTATGGGGGAAATTAAACTTCATATTTATTTAGATTTAGTCACTTCAACTTATAAATATTTTGTTTTTGTCTCCATTAACTTTCAAATGTTTATATTATTTTCGTGTCTGCAAACATTTGAAGCCATATTCATTAGTTGACCCAACTATATTTGTGTTATTTTGGTCCACGTCATTTTTACTTTGGTTGTTAATTTTTGTCCATGTTATTACAAAATAATTATTTTTGTCTCTCTATTTTCAACTTTAATTCATTTTAATTTTTGTACTTTCGAAATATTCATTTTGGTATGTATATTTTTAAAAAGTGACCATGTTGGTCCATTAATTTTTATTTTTATCTCCATTCTTTCGATCACAAATTTATCACGACACTTCACCCACTAAATCACGAAATATAATCATAAATTTGTATTCAAAGGTTTCCATCGTATAAAATTTGTGTTAAAATTTGCAAATAACAACAAAATGAGTCACTTTTTTAAAGTACAAAAATCTAGCATATATTTTGAAAATACAAATACTAAAATGGACAAAAATTAAAAATAAATAATGGACAAAAATGAAAGTGCATGACCAAAATGAACAAAGTACAGTACAGAGACCAAAATAATATTTAGACCTTAAATTTTTGTTAAATGATTAATGGAAATTAACGATAATAGATAAAATACTTTATATAGGGACTAAAATAAAAGGTTTGAAAGCAAGAAACTAAAATAGAACATTTGAGAAGAGTGCGTAGAATTTTAAAATGAAGTAACGAAAAGTTTATAGACTAAAATATGATTAAAGAGTTTTACTAAAAGTTTATAGACTAAAATATGATTAAAGAGTTTTACTAATGGTCTAATATAGGCTTCATGATCATAATTTTTGGATAGGAAGAAAAAAAATTACCTTTTGAGCTGAAAACTTATTTATATAAAAAAAATAGGATTTGAAATCATATATATGATTTGAAATCTATTTATTTTAAAAATGAAAAACAAAAATAATTCACTTAAAATATAACTTTGATTTCAAATCTACTAAAATCCTTATGGAAATAAAGTGGAACAGAAAATGGGGCCACTAGCAAGTGGGTAAGGGGTTGTTTGGTGTTTTTCTCCTTTTGAATTGTTTTTTTTTTCTTTTCAAATACTTTTATACACAATTTTTTAAATTGCTTTCAAAATTTTATATATAAAAACTATTTAAAAAAAATTTTCATTGCGTTTTCCTTAAAATTTATCAACATTATCATTTAAAGCATATCATACATTTTAATCAAATTATATTGAGATAATAGTTCCCATCGACTGAGTTAGTTGAAGCAAATAATAGACTAATGTCATACGTTCCAATTTCTACAGAAGGTTTAACTAAAACAATTGAGTTTTAACTAAAAGAATCACAAACATTAAAATAGTTTTTTTTTAATATTTAAGAATAAAGATAAATATCTTAAAAAGTTCAAAACAAAAAATAAAAAAAATATTAAAAGTACATTTAGCATACTAGACTTAAAAGTAACGATTATATATATATATATATATATAATAATGTAGTATTTATATATTAAAATTATTTGTAATATTGTTAAAAATTAATTAAATTTCTTATTTTTGTAGGTTGATAAGTTGCTCTTAAACTAAAAGGTTATGAGTTCGATCCTCCACGCCACATGTTGTACTGAAAAAAAGGGTGCTAAGGGAAATTTAAATTTTACCTAAGAAAAATTGATACTTCAAGATAAGTTTTCACTTTATAAATTGAATTTTTATCGTTACAAATTTTAACTGCAAGAACTAAGCGCCTGTTTATCAACATTCTCGTTTCTTGTTTATCGTTTCCAGTTTTTTAGAAACACAAACGTTTAGTAAATGTTTCTATTTTCTTGTTTCTTATTTTTAAGATATGTATTTAAAAATTGCATAGAGACGTTGCAAAACAACAAAATTAATTTTCTTGTTTATAGTTCCAATTTTCTATATTTTTTCAAAACATAAATAAAATATTATATTTTATCATTATTGACTTAAAAAATGCGTAATAAGTATTAAAAATAAAATATAGCAGAAATTTTTTGAATATTTAACTTAAAGAATAAAATTCATACAAAACTATTAATCTTTTTTATTTAAAAAAGTAGAGAACGGAAAAATAAGAAAGGGGTACCAAATGTGTTTTTCCTTGAATAAAAAAGAGAACAATAAAAAAACCTATCAAAAGTAGTTTTGTTTATTTAATTGAAAAATAAGAAACGTTGAAAATAAAAACACAAACAAAATCAATTAATAAAAACGTTATTAGCTGACCATTTTTTAGTATGTTTCCACGTCCTTTGAAATGCATTTAAATTATTAATCAAATACCAAAATAAAAAACAACTATTTTTTCATATTTTTA